GAGGGTTGATGGAGGGAGGTTGGTGGGAGATGGGCTAGATGGGTGATGGGTATTACGGAGGGCACTTGTGATGAGCACTGGGTGTTGTATGTAAGTGATGAATCACTGAATTCTACTCCTGAAACCAATATCGCACTGTATGTTAATTAACTGGAATTTAAACAAAATTTTGAAAAAAAGTTGTAGGTATTTTTCATAGATGACACTCTTAGAGAAGCTGGCTGAGACTGCTTGTGACACTGTATATTATGATCTTGCAAATGAGTAGAAAGTTGGGTATTCTCACTATTTCAGAAATTTTTGGTCTGATATGAGGCTTACTGCCAATGTGGGCACCATAGTTTGCTAATCTTGCAAAAGATATGTCAACGATTTTCCAAAGTAACACAAACTTGAAAGCTTTTTTCTGTCTGGGCCAAAAGATAGGCAGAGGTGAAAAAGAGAAGGATCTGTGATCAGATTTTTAGGGTTTAAACCTCATCTCTTCCACTTAATAGGTAAAAAATCACATTGGAAAATCAGACACCCTCAACCCAAGTTTCTTCATCTGTAAAATAGAAGAAATGATATCTACTTCATAAGATTGTTGTAAAAACACTGGATAATAAGTAATTAAAAGTTATGTTTAGAGTCTAATTTATTTTATTAATTTATTTTTGAGGTGGGGAGGGGAAGAGAGAGACGGAGAGAGAGAATCCCAAGCAGCCTCTGCACTGTCAGTGAAGGGTCCGATGTGGGGCTCAATCTCATGAACCATGAGATGAGGACCTGAGCCGAAACCAAGAGTTAGACGCTTAAGCCGACTGAGCCCCCCAGGTGCCCTACAAGTACAGTTTTTTAAATCATTTAAAAATACTTGATATTGTCATTTTATATTTTTTATTTTTTTTAAGTTCATTTATCTTAGACAGAGAGAGACAAAGAGAGCAGGGGAGGGGCAGAGAGACAGGAGGAGAGAGAGAGAATCCCTAGCAGGCTCTGCTGTCAGTACAGAGCCCTATGTAGGCTGAAACTCATGACAGTTTGGCTACTGTTGACAGTGTTGTTATAACATTGGGTGCATGTGTCCCTTCGAATCAGCACACCTGTATCCTGTGGATAAATGCCTAGTAATGCAATTGCTGGCTCATAGGGTAGTTCTCTTTTTAGTTTTTTGAGGAACCTCCATACTGTTTTCCAGAGTGGCTGCACCAGCTT